CCCAGACAAAAGATAAGGATATCCACAGCCTGCCATAGTCTGTGGAAGAAGGGGTCTTTTCCCATCTGGTTTTGTCTATCCTTGGGGAACATTTGGGAAGACTAAAAGGAGGAAGACTATGTCTCACATTATCCTTCAGTGTCCCCAAACTGGGAGTAGCCACAGTGGTTCTGGTGTGGCCTCTTAATAGATAAGTACTTGTAAATAATCTAGTAAAAACCTGAGGTTGTGCCTGAGAATACACAATGTTCTGTCTCATTCACCTGTAAATTGCACCCTGACAGACATGGTGGTAAGAGACACAGCATCACGGAATCACAGGTGGAAGAGTTGTTCAGCATACAGAAGAGAAGGAAGAATAAAATTTTCAAAAATATAAGGGTTTAGAAGGAGAGCATACTTTTCTCCAGGTCTGATGCAGGTAGAAAAGTAGCTTCCTTGTTAGAAACAGGAAGATTCAGGTTGAGCATCAGGACAGACTTACTAAGCCTCTGACAATGGAGAAGTTGTCTGGAGAGACTGAAGAGCATCTACCATTGGAGTCTTTGGCAGAGGCTGGGAAAATTTATATCAGGAGAGGTTTGCAGAAATTTCAGCCTGCCTTGGAGAAGGAAGTTGGACTAGACTATTATTTTGCATCCCTCCTACACCTTTTACCTATGTTTCTGCAATTGCAAGTCAGTGAGATTGGCAAACACCTTTTCCCATGTTGCTCCCTGTGTTTCTGTGCAGAGAGGACGAGGTCCAAACCCATCCTGACAGGGACACACCCTGTTAACACAACAGTAGACTACGGTGGGACCACATCCTTCCAGTGCAAAGTCCGCAGCGATGTCAAACCCGTCATCCAGTGGCTGAAAAGGGTGGAGTATGGCACAGAGAGCAAGTACAACTCAACCATCGATGTTGGGGGTCAGAAGTTCGTTGTGCTGCCCACGGGGGAGGTCTGGTCACGTCCAGATGGTTCCTACCTGAACAAACTGATGATTACTCGAGCCAAGGAAGAGGATGCAGGGATGTATATTTGCCTCGGGGCAAACACCATGGGCTACAGCTTTCGCAGTGCTTTCCTCACAGTCCTGCCAGGTGAGTTAATGACTTTCTTCTCTCCATCTGTACCAATAATCTGCATCATGGTATTTGTTAATGCAACTACTGATGCCCATTGGGCTCCCCGGCCCTCTGTGATACCTTACTGATTTAGGGTAGCCCAGTTCTGGTAAGAATGAATGGGGGGCTAAATCAACCCTGATTTAAATCAGTCCCTGCTGAAATCCTGTTGATGATGTTTCTCTTTCTCCCTTCATGGGGAATAATCACAGACTCACAGAATGGGTAAGATTGGAAGTGGCGACAGTGGGTCATCTGGTCCAACCTCCCTGCTCAAGCAGGGTCATCCTAGAACATATTGCACAGGATTGCATCCAGATGGCTCTTGAATATCTCCGGAGTGGGAGACTCCACAACCTCGCTGTCAGGGCAGCCTGTTCCAGTGCATAGTCACTGCACAGGAAAGAAGTTCTTCCTTATATTCAGGTGGAATTTCCTATGCATCAGTTTCTACCCATTGTCTCTTGTTCTATTGCTTGGCACCACCAAGAAGAGCCTGGGTCCATCCTCCTGACACCTTCCCTTCAGATGCTTATACACATTGGTGAGGTCCCCTCTCAGTCATCTAGGTGAAGTGCAATGAATTATCTGCTCTTGTATGGAAAAGGGGTATTTGAAAGGATACTGCAGTTACAGACATTGCATCTCTTCAGTGATAGGGTGCGGGACAGGATGCTGAATAGCAGCACAGTTTGCAGCCCCATTCCCTTATGTTTCTCCTTTCTCTTGCCCTTATTTCTATTGCTTTTACTGGTAGAAGGAAACAATGATACAGGCCCATAAAATGAGAGAAGAATAAAAACTGTCCCAGTCACAAGGAAATGAAAAGAATGAGTGTGAAAAAGAGAATGATTGATTAGTCAAATTCTTACCCAATAGTCCCCTGAGACCCCTGTACCAAACTCACAGCTGCTGCCTTCTCTTTTCAGACCTCAGGGCTGGTGGCCACATCCAACTTGAGACTGTATCAAATGTGTTTCAGACACACCATCCCTGCTTGGTCATTCTCTCCTTTGCCTTCTGACTGTGTGGTTCTATCCTGAATAAATATTTATTATTTAAAAGAGAATTTCTTTCTCCTCATCTTGCCATGTGAATTCAACTTCAGATCCATCAGTTTTATGTCAAAAATCAATCTTACTTCTTTTTCTTCCAAAAGCCAACACAGCTAAGAGAATGCAGGAGCTGGAGCCAATATCAAAACATTTTAGCTGTCAGTTCTAATGGAGTGTCTCCAGTCAGACACCAGTGAGGGGCAGCAATCATGAACTGGGTTTCTGTGTAGGTAGTGGGGAAAATGCTCATGACGCTTGTAACTAAGGCAACATGGCTTAGTCTGCTCACTGATTGCCAAAGCTCTCTGTTTCAGTGGCCATCAAGAGTCACTAGCTTGAACTTAGGTACTTACAGTGGGTTGCCAAGTAAGAGAATGCTCTTGGCCTTGTCTTGTGCATCACTTGATTTAGAACTAAACTAACTGTAAAGCCTGTCAATCCCAAGGAAAAGGCTGTGTGGGTGGGATATAATTCAAAGCCTCTGGGAGTTTCTGAACTACGAGAGTCTGATCCAGCTCCCACTAAAATCAGTGGGAGACTTTCCATTGATTTAAATGGGACTATAATGAGGCCTCATGCCAGAACCAGAGCCTGCAGGCCTGTTGTTATTGGCAGTGATGGAGAAGGAGAACCCAGCTTGTCCTAAGAGGCAAAGATGTGGTTGTAAGGCAGTGAGTTTAAAAACACCATTTTGCTTGTAAATCTACCAGATTTGACATAGACTACTCTGAGGAACAGCACAGATGAATATCAAAACACTTTGGTTTCAGCCCAGCAAAGGATTTCTGCCAACCAACATGAAGACTGTTGTTTTTGTTGTCAGCAGATGGGTCAGTTCTCTAATCCTGCCATGCTTTTAGCAGGGGGCTGGACCAGATGACCTCCAGGCTCCTCTTCCAGCCTAAATTATTCTGCAGTTTCCAGTATTGGTGAATCAAGGTTTTGTCTATTGAGGTCAGCAGTATAGGTCCTTCTGACTTCAAAGAGACCACATGGTATATATTAAATATTTCAAACTAGCTGTAGGATTATTTGTCAAGGAGCGAAAAAGACATTAGTGTCTTTGAGAAGTTTGGCTTGAAAGTTAAGTGATACATGTTTGAATATAACATATTGAGCGATTTAGATAGCCTGTGGTTTTTGAAGTTTCTTGAGTATCTCCTTGCAAGATGAATTCTGTGCCTAGGTATTTTTCAAGGCTTTGGAAATCCCAGCTGGCAGCTATATAGACAGGAATTTTCATAGTTAGAATCCTACCCTAGGAATTCTTTCGGATCTATAAATCAAGAGATCAGGCTGAGAAACCAGAGTGGCTACTCAGGGATGTACAGGCTGCCAACAGCAGAGAGAGGAAGGGGGAGGTAGGTGGAAGATTATGTCTAAAGCATCTTGTCTCCTCCAGTAGCTGAATTTACTGCCCTCAAAAAAGCCAACAGCAGCTCCAAAGAGATTGGTGAAGGTAGAGCCCATATAGTGTAGGGAGCTGGGGACACACTTTAGTGTGTGTGAACTTTCAGTTCTCCATGGCTTGGGCACCAAGAGAGGGACACTAGCTCACCTATGTTTTTTCTCATCCTTCAGCCTTCCTCCCAGCCACACAAGCAACTCAACACAGTACCTCCAAATCCCCACATTCATGCTCCCTGCCATGGTGGAGCATTGCTGAGTAGCTCCAGTATTTCCAGAGTGAGTTACTAAAGAGTGTCTAAAACCCATGCAGACAAGAGCTACAGCTGGCAGAGGGTGGGTAAGCAACACACTGTGGCTCTGCACAACCTAATTGTGCCTCCTCTGCTGACATGGAGGTATTACTAACATATCCTGTGTTCTGTCCTCCAATCTGGACAGCAAAGCCCACTCCATCACAGAGTGAGAATATTAGGAAACTGTCTCAGGCTGGCTCTAGTGCATCCATTAAAGTTTGGATATGAAAGTTAAAAAATCCCCCGAAGACTCCCCTCCTGACCCCTAAACCAGAGAAAATGAGTTGCTTGTCCGTCCAGGAGCACTGAAAAGCAAGGCAGTTACCAAACATCATGTGCTGGCTTGATTTCTCCCTTGTTATTTGGTCTGGCAGGGTTGCCAGACAGCCTGTACAAAAGCCAGCCCAAGTGTGACATGTGTTTTGAATTCACTTTGCCTGCATTTAATTAACTCTTTCTGTCTCTCTCCTGCCCTAATGTCTAGATCCCAAGCCTCCGAGTGCACCTGTGCCCCCTTCATCAGCCAGCAGCCTGCCCTGGCCTGTGATCATCGGCATCCCTGCTGGAGCTGTCTTCATCTTTGGGACAATCCTCTTGTGGCTTTGCCAGACCAAGAAGAAACCCTGCTCCCCTCCAGCTGCTGCCCCCGTGCACCGGCCACAGCCCCGGGACAGGATCTGTGTCTCCCAGGTGCCTGACAAAGACTGCATCTCCTCCGCTCCTCAATAAATTATGAGGAATATGTCGCCCAGCAGCAGCATTTACTGTCCCAAGGGCCTGCACTCGCCCCAGCCATGGCATCCAAAATGTACCCAAAGATTTACACGGACATCCACACCCACACCCACTCGCACGTGGAAGGCAAAGTCCATCAGCACCAACACATTCAGTACCAGTGCTAAGAGCTGTGTACAGTAGCTTGTTTGGACTTTTCCTTGTGGTACCTCAGAAGAGACTGCTCCAAGTCAGCTCACACTGCCAGCAATAGGCAAAGCAGACAGAAAAGAT